GCGGCAGTGGGAGGGGGGTGTGCTGCGTCCGGCCGTGCTTTCAGTGGCCGGGACGAGTGACCCGCGGGGGTCGCGCTCAGCCCTTAACCTGATGCGGGAGCCCGTCCTCCCCTTCCCCCTCGCTGCCGGCCGGGTAGAAGTCTGAGCCGATGTCTAGCTGTTTCCGTGTCTGGAAGTAAGGCCCGTCCGTGTCTTGACCTCAGCCCCAGCGCCCCTCACCGGGAGCCCTCGGGCTGTGTTACAGCGCCACGGCCCCCCTCACAACAGCCCGCCCCGGCAAGGCTCCGAAACCCGGCGGAAGCACTGCAAGGCTTGGAGCTGGCAGGGCACATAGCATTTCAATGGCGGCGTCCACACGAGACAAGACGCAGACCGTACATTGGCCTAATAGGACTGTGCAGTAGTGTGTCACAGCACAAACCATGCTAGTAGGCTCCTGCGCAGTGTTATTAGGCTAGTGCTCAGGAAGCGTCACTAAGTGTGTGTCACAACCCAAAGTTGTGAGTTTTTGTTTTGTGTGTGCTTCGGCACTGCTAAATTATGTTCCCGCTAAATTGCAGCTTCTTTGCACGGTGGAGTTCTCTGCTACAGAGAAGAACTCCGGTGCAACGGAGAATTTTCCCGCCAATTTGTAGCTTTCTTTGCATGGTGCATTTCTTTTGCATCTCAGAAATGCACGGTGCAAAGGAGTTCCCGCCATTTGTATTTTAATTCAAGCCCCATTATTGGCTTGTGTTAAATTATGCACACGTGGCGGCTAGCAATTGGCTTGCTATCCGTATAAAGAGCTTGGGTGGTTTCCGCCCAAGTTGGAGACAGAGCAATTGGAGTTCGAGAGGGAGAGTGTGAAGATCTCTAAGCGCTGCGGATCCTTACAGACCCAACGCATTTCTTAAGAAGGCAACAGAGGTCTAAACAGCCTCTGGCCTCTCCCCGTCGCCGAGCGCAATCCTAGACGTATCCCTATCCTGTATACTTAAGATCCCAAGCCACGGAGCTTTAACAACTCCGGGGCCAGAGAGCCGAACCAAACCCACGGAGCTTCGACAACTCCGTGGGAAAGAAATTGCCGAACCCGCGGAGCCTTAACAACTCCGGGGCCCAAGAACCGAATTTGTCGTAGTCCTCCAATGAGGATTTAAGCGGAGCTGAACCTGGAAACTGTCCAGCCTACACCGCGACCATCTTGGGTGTAAGTAAATAATCTTTGAATCAACCACTACGCCTCTGTGACTAATTCTAGCCCGTGCGTGCCTTGCCGCCGCACGGTCTCCTCTGACCCCGTGTGCCCGGGCTGCTGGCCACAGCCCGCGTGCGCAAAGACGGGTCCGCATATCGCTCCCGGCTCGCACATGGCGACATGGATGGGATCGGGAGGCGGCCCGCACAGTGTGCACCAGCGCTACTGCACGGTAACTCTACCCACTGCGTGTTTAGTTGGTACTTTATGAAGGAAGTACTAAACTAAATGTGCAGTATCTAAGGTGCATTAATGAACGTGTAGACACACCCAACGTGTTTCACCAGTAATAGGAGTGCCTGACCTTGAGCCTGACTGGGGGTGTTAGGGGGTGTCTAATGAACAGTCAAAGCCTTGGCTTCACACCGGAGATGGGCAGAGCGGGAGACTGGCACTATAGAGTAAGGACAGCGAAGATATGCAAGTGTCTAAGCAGAAGAGCACAGCTTCCTCAGCCCAGTGGGCTGTACTCCTATCTTCATGTCACTCACTTGATATCATTGGGCCTTTTCCAGAAGCATCAGTAACAATAGGGGCCAAAGTTAAGTGGCCTTTTAAAGCTGTAGTGCTCAGCCCCTAGCCCATGGATCATATACAATCTGCAGAGCCATGTCCTCCATGACCATGTCCACAGTACTCTCCATGGGTCTGAAAATTTGGCGGTGGCAGCATTAATCGCCATCCCCCCACCCCATGTTGCCAAACATAGGTGACGCGTAGGAGGGGAGCGGGGGGGCACGTTTTCCCCCCCGAGGTTGGCCACTGCCAAAGCTGCCACTGGCTTCTGCAGACAGTTACTGCCCAGCCCCGCCCCCACTGCCAACGTAGCTGGCAACAGCTGCAGGCAGTCCACACTTGCTGCTTGCCAACCCTCCCTGCCCTGCCACCCACAGCCAGCGGTGCCTGCAGGCAGTCCCTGCTCACGGCTCGCCGCTGCCGACACTGCTGGCAGCAGTTGCAGGCGGTCTCTGCTCAATGCCATGGTGCCACCCCAGTCGTGGGAGGCACCAGTCATTCATGCTGCTAAACTTCTCCTAGACTGAGCACATGGGGCAGGGCAGCACAAGGTGGGATCCAGACTAATGGGTCTTGATCTGGGAGGCGCAAGGCAAGATTGGAACACACAGGCCCGGTCAGGCAGTGCAAGGCAAGATTCAGGTGCACAGCACCTCAGATGGTATATACCAATACTTTGCTAAGGTAGAAGGCAGAGTAAGGTAGCACCTTAGGGTGCCCGTACAGGAGTACAGAGGCTGCTTCGACACGCTATAATTCTAGGTGCTGACCCCATGGACTGGCCTATGGATGGGCTCCATGCCATTCATTTGGCCTGAAAGAAAAAAAAGCTTGAGCACCACTGTTAGAGCATTCTACCCAAACACAGAGAGGGAAATCCACCTGTGTACACAAATTATGTGCTTAAGTCTCACTGAGTACATCTACATGTGTGCTGCACAGTCATTTATTACTTGCTTAAGCCCACCAACGCTACATCTCCTTAGGAACGAGCTATGACAATGTAGCTTATCGGTACACCGACATAGTGTCTCGTGTAGATGCGCCCACTGAAGCTCTATTTTGATGGTCATGTTTGCCCTTTGAAATGAACTAAATTTGTCCTAAAAATACCTACCTCTCTTCTGCTTACGTAAGCAAACAAGATCAGAAAACAAGACTGGATAACTGTATTTGTATATTCATATAAAACTTTATAAATATGATCACAAAGTCTGTCAAGAGTAATCAGTGATTTTAGTTGCTGTCTTCAGAGTGCCCAAAGGTTGTCATCTATGAAAGCTTATACATCTCGGAATCAGTTAGTCTCTAAGGGCACTTTTACACGTGCTCTGGAGGTGTGGGGGGCAGCATTTTAATTAGAGCTGCTCTAATTAAAGAGTTGCTACCTCTCCTGTATCAACATCCCTGCAGTTAAAAATGGTGGTGGGAGCACTTGAACTAAAGCTCTTTCGAGGAGCTGTAGTTCAGGCACCCTCGACACCATTTTTAAGTGCAGGGGCACTGATACACAAGATGCAGGAGGTTGCTGGAGTGAAGCAATTGCCACACTCCAGCAGACTCAATTAATCGAGTCTACGCCAAAGTGCTGGAATTCTAGCTAAGGTGCTACCTTGCCCTGCCTTCTACCTTAGAAAAGCATTGGTATTTCATTTGAGGGCGCTTCAGGTTAAAAACTTCAAATTACTGATTTTTCTTGAACATCTTTATGTTTGCATGTTATGTATATGCAGAATGCCATTAAAGAGAAGTCAAATATACAGATTCTTCAGTTGATACATAGACTGCATTAAAAATGTATTTTTGTCTGAGCAAAGAATAATACTACAAGGAGAGATCAAAATACAAAATACATAAATAAGAATGTAGAATATCAGGAATTAAGAATTAGCACATACAAGCATAGAAGACATTGTTTAATGATAAGAGTTGCAGGAAAACATGCCTCTGATCCGAAAAACACGAAAATTAGAAGTAAAGGGAAAAGTCTCCAGTATTCATTGAGACCCTTAAGTCTCTTAAAACATTAGAAATAACATTCTACCTCTTCAGTGGATGTTAAGAAGTAGTACAAGCCTTACCTTCAGCCAGTTTATGCTCTCTCACAAAACCTTAATGGTTACCTAAGGTGTTATGTTATATTGGCACATCTGACTGTCACACAGTCCATTAGTTTGGAAAGTTATTCAGCCTTAGCATTGCTGAGGTCATTTTAAACATGGGATGAGGAAGCAAAAGTTGGATAATCTAAATGAAAATCAGTGATTTCTTTATATATAAACAGTAAAAATAAAACAAAAAAAAGGAGAGAGAGAAAACTTCTGGCCTGAAATTTAGCAGCAGAATATTTCATATGCAACTACACCAAAATCAGACAAAGTAAAGAGGGCAAATAGAAAACAAGGCAGATTTTAGATGGCAGTGCTCCCTGACTCTGAGGTTTTGCTATCAATAGCCCTGATCTTACAAATACTTATACATATGAGTAACTTTATATAAATGGGTAGTTTAATTGAACCTGTTGCTAACAGGCCTACTACTGTATTAAGATAACCATGTAAGCACTTGCAGAATTGGTGCCTATGCTTGTATGGAATGTTTTTAGTTTGTTCAGTGATAGGCAGCAATTGTTTACTTCATCAAGTGGAAGGTAACAAATATGACTTAGCATCTAGAATGTTATCACCATGCTTTGCCTTTTATTTAATTTTACAAAAAAGCCATTGCAATCAAGGGACTTAGTCCAAAGCTAATTAATGGAGGCTTTCATCCCATGAAGTGCACAGATGAAGCTTTCACACCACCCAAAATATTCAGCTTGAAGAACCTTTAC